TGAGAAGCTCACAGCCAATCCCTCCAGCCCCTACCATAAGAACTCTCGCCACCTACAATTTTTATTTAAAAGTTAAATCATAGTTAAACTAAATGCTTATTTTTGTTTTTGGTATATTTATTTCGTACCTTAATGGCGGATAACTGTTCTTGAGAAGCCATCCCGGAAGTCAAGCCAGAGAGAAAGCAAGAGGAAGAATAAGAAGAGAGAAGCAACGAAGAGTAAAATACAAGACCAACCGACTTATTTAATCATGTGCGATCCCTGCATTAATCAGAAGTGATATTTATTGTACAAATATATAAAAAGTATGATTTTATTAAAATATTTTAATTTTTAAGTTTAAAAGTCTCAATATCATTTACCGATCCCTTATTAGTAAATAATTTACAATTTTAAAAAAAATTTAAAAAATTTATAAATTAACCTTTATGAGATGAGATAATTTTTCTAAAAAAAAGTCTCAACATGATTTATGCATTATTTTTATTTTTATTTAATATTTTTGTAAATTACATAATAAAAACATATTGTTTTTTTTTTTTTTTATAGAATCAAGGGGAAAGAAAGGAGGGAGATGTTTTCATGGGTGTGGTAGGGAATCGAACACGGTACGTGAAACAATATTTTAGGGAATCCAAATGGCCGTCATTAGAAGGAGGCGGCTAACTGAGTCACCAAATATATATAAAATAAAAAATAAAAAATAGGCAAAATCAAACCTGTAGAATCGGTAAAAAAAGCCAAACGTTACAGTAATACTGATGCCTACAGCATAACCCAAAAAGACAAAAAAAAAATTTCTACGGTGCTCTGCTGCTCTTACAGATTCTCTTTCTCTAACTAGGCTGTTGAGGCAGAGAGAAAAATCACTGAAACTGAAAGCTAGCGCAATTTTTTTTTTGTTCATTTCTTCAATTAGAGCAGCAAAAATTGTGAGTAATTTAATTTTAATCTCTGCTTTAAGGGCTCGAAACTCTGATTCTAGAGTTTTAGTTCCTGTTTATATTTCAAGGTCATTCCTCTTATTTTGCTTTTTTTTTTTTTCTTAGCTGCAGCGTTTGACCGAATAGAGCCTCCCCTGCCCATTTTGCCAACAAATTACGGAATCTCAAACGGTATTTACATGTTTAATTACCAAGTTTTATTAATACGTTTGAACGCATTTTCTTTTTAAATTATTTTAATGATACAATTTAATCTTTTGGTATATGATCTTCATTCTTATTCTGTTTATCTGTTTGCCTGGAATGTCAAATTGCTTTTTTGAAATTGTAATTTGTTTCATCTAATTGTATAAACGGCTAAAATATAAATTTGAGAAAAAAAAGTATTAATATTGACTTAATATTTGGTTTGTTTGGCTTTTGTTTTAGATTTTTCCTTTTTATTGTCTTCTGATAATGTTGTTTTTCTATTTGTTTATAGAGTTCTATTCTAAAGGTTGTAAAAGGACTCAAATTTTGAGTGAGTCTAAAGATTATGACATTGCCATCTCTGCTGCAAATCCTCAGGATGAAACTGGAAAGAAGAAATCCAAGGTCTCTCTCTGAATGCTATCAGTTATTGCGACCCCTTTTCATATGCTAAATGCTTGAAACCTTTAATACTGGTGTTAATTATGGAAGTGTTACAAAAGAATTAGAAGGCCTTATTTCTAGGAATACGCAGTTGGTAAGCAAGGTACTTGCTTTGCATCCTTGTCTTTCAAATGTGTTAGCAGATATGGAAAAGAGCCCAAGGAAAGATGTTTTAAAGATGCCGGAATAATTTTATAGACTTGGAGGATGACTCTGTTGGAAATAGCTAGAAACATTGGCAAGAAACATTAGAACACACAAATGACCGTTTACACACCAAGGAACGAGAACACTGATGTGTTACAATCCCTTGCAGAAGTGCAAACAACTCAAAAAGTAGTACCTTCGGGAACTCTCTAACAAAATGATGTTAAAAAAGGTATTTAACATATTGGACCTTGTTCAACCAAAGTTTCTTAGGTTGGACAATTCAAAATCAGTCATTAAGTGGATAATGAGCAAGGTGCATATATCTGGAGTGAAGAAGCAGTTCAAAGCTGGAGCAGATGCTGCTTTTTATGATTTGGTGGAGCACACACTGCAGAAGGATGAAAACTTTGAGAGGAAAGTCTCAGTCATACATGATCTACGTGAGATGACCAGCAAAGTTCTTCATTACTACAAGGAGATTCCTTGGATGAGCTTCCTGGATTTGTTGATTTCACTGTTGTACTCAGTCTTAGTTAGGCTGAAGGACGAAGTTCAGAAGTTAAAAAGGTTTCTAAGGAAGTTCAAGATTTCATCTGTTGGTAGTGCTGTTTATCTAAGACCGAAACTGAATTCTTTCTCTGAGAATTCTGTCACAGCAGATGATAGGATGGATTCTTATTAGACAAACTAGATGTCAAAGAGGGAGTCAAAGCAAAATATTTTCTTAATATGTTAAATTTATCTGAGTCAGCTGGTGGGAAGCCCCTTGTTTTAAGTCAGTATCTCATCCCCTTGAATCTTTTAGAGAGATAGTCCGTGAAAATGAAGGGTTGGCATCCTGGAATTGATATTTTTTCAATCACAGATGACTGATCATTGGGACTAGTCTATGGAACGCTTCAACAACTCTCCCGATGAGTTTTCTTTGGATCTATTAAGGCTTGTGAAGAGGGAATTTCTTTGGTGGGGGCATCCTGAATTGTAATCTTGGATGTTCATCTTAATCCATCCGTGACCCGCCAACCAATAGGCCGTGCATTTTGCCCTGGCCAAAAGAAGAAAGTGTATGCATATAGATTGATTGCGGGTGATTCTCCTGAAGAGGAGGATCATGGTACTTGTTTCAAGAAGGAATTAATTACAAAGATTTGATTTGAGTGGAACAAGTATTGTGGTAACCGAGGTTTTTATATGGAGACTGTTAGTGTGAATGAGTGCAATGATCTCCTTTTGGAAAGTCCCTTGTTAAGGGAAGATATTAGGGTTCTGTACAGAAGGTTAGTCTTTTTATTCAACGCCATTCTCATTTATTTTCTCTTGGTTCTTGCATTCCAACTTCTATTCCCATATTTTCAGGTAGATGCTGGGACCATGGACCCTGGCTGTCATGGGCACAAGAACAGGATTGGGCTGTTTCCTTGTTATGCACAAGTAATTTCTCTTTTTTTTTTTGTTTTTTTGTAGTCATTCAGTCCCTTGATATGTTTACTGGTTTAGAAACATCTGAAAGCAGTGTAGGCAGGTTGCTTGAAAGCAATATTAAGTCAATTCAATGCTATAGAAATGACCCTTTTTTTGACAGTTCTTGGTGACTTTTCCCTTCCCTGGAGCTGATGAGGCTTTTATAACATCTGTAATGGAGCCAGGAAACATTAGATGCTTACTTCAGTACATAAAAGTTTTGTGTACTAGTTTTATAATGTGTTAATCTGCAAGTCTTTTTAGAAGCAGTTTTCTCTTACTATTTATAAGAACCCTCCTCACTTCCCATGTAGGCATGTAAATTCTGCTTTCTGAAAATTCTGGTTGACTAAGGGTCTTTTTAATTCCATATAAGCTCTAATGTTTAAGATATACAATTTATGTGTGGAATTTCCTGGTTTTGGGTTAGTTGTGATATTTTTCGTGCATTTTCCTGTTTGACTGCCTGCTTTCACCTGTTCCATCTGGTGTTATTTGCTATATTGATGAACTGATACAATCAAGGATGAATGCAGTTGGGTCTGAGTGTTTGATGAGCTTAACCTATATTTCCAGGAGTAGCCATAAAGGCTCATTTGTCATCCAAACTAGGCAAATTTGAATAAACTTCTAGTCTTTTCCTTCAATTTGTTTTTCCAAGTTTGGGTTAGAAATCATACAGGAAATTTGATCATGGGTTATTGGCTTATTGCAGGTATTTGCCGAGTGCCAAATGCTTCGAGCTGATTGAGTAGCCCAGCCCAGCACAGCCTGAACCATCTCTATGTAACTTCCTTTCAACTTCTAACCAAAAATATGTATTAGAAATCAGATTGTCTCATGATTTAAAAAAAAAAAATCCTTTAACTTTCTAATTCTATCTATAAAATTTAGTTTAAGAATTTCACCGATCATATATTAGATAACTTTTTTTGAAATAAAAATCCTTAACAAGTTCAATAGAAGGGGGCATCAACTATTATCATATGTATAATTTCTAGCCATGTCATGAAAATTATGCATTATCTTTTATCTCCACAACAGAATGAAGAATTTCAGGTTTTCCATAACAAAAAGTGTTTTCTGGAAATAAAATGACTTTTTAGAAAGAGATTAAGGGCTCAAGTCACTGTTTGCCTTCAATTACACCTGCTCTTATAGTCTTCAACTAGAAGGAAAAGACTCAGTGATTTATTAAATCTTGGAGACTGGTTTGAGTGTAAAACTGAAATAAAAATATTTTTTTAATTATGACAGTTGATTATTATGTTTCATTTTATTTTTCATCATTATATTTATATTTAAACATATATTTTTATCATTAATTTTAATCCTATTATTATAATAATTTTTTTTAATATCATTAAAATTAATCTTCAATCAGACAAGTAATAAAGTATAGGGTAGATTAAAATTTAAAAAAAAAAAAAAACCAATCCAAACAATATAAATGTAAGCCTAAAAACCCCAACAATACAAATGTGGGTACTTAACAATAAATAGGGGAGTTTCAATTTACAACTTTGGCACCTTTTTTATATCGCATGTGTAGGGATGTAATCGATCAAGTTCGAGTTAATACAGTACTAAGTTTGAGTTTGAGTTCAAGCTTAACTTAAAATTCGAGACTCGAAACCCCGCTCGAGCTCGATTGAGTTTTTTTTTTTTTTGGCTCGAGCTTAACTCAAGATAGAAATCAAGCTGTTCAAGCTCGCTTGATTAAGTTTGATTAACATATAAAAATAAGTTCGATTTTTATATTCGACAAAAGTTCAATTATTTGTACTCGAACTCGAATTCGAGATTTTTATTAATTAAAATATAAAAGCTTAATTAGGTTCACAAATTATTCGAACCAGGTATAAGCATATTCGAACTTGGTTCGATCGATAAGTCGAGCTACATGAATTCGAGCTCGACTCGATAATAACCAAGCTGAATTCGAATTTTATTTGATTCGAATCTGAATAACTTGCGAGTACTAATATATCATTTACCTCTAGTCATGTTAACCCTAACTCCCTCTTAAGGAAACCAACAGCCAAGTTGCTAACCCAGGCCAAGGTAGGAGATTTCTTCATTCGCAAGCAAACGCCAAGACCAGTAGCAGAAGTTGAAAAGTTCACTCCTTTAGCAGCATAAAAACGTTACATTTCCCCTGCATATCTCCTTCAAGCCACAACAGAAGAGAAAACACGAAGAATAGAGCAACCTCAACCTTCTTTCCAAGTCATTTGTCTTAGCAAAATATGATTCCTTTTATATCTTTCTCATCAAAAACAAAACAAAGCAAAGACATTTACTTTGTTTTTAACCTTTATAGTTTAAAAAGAAGTGCACTTTTTTCTTAGTTTTTTTAGCTATAAACTAATCCTATGGACCCCAAAATCGAACAGAGCTCGTTTGCAGCCAAGTCTAGTATGATTCAAATCTTTTTTCTACTGTTTTGGTATATTCTTTAAGGCTATATTTTCTGTTCTTTTTGTGGAAAAAGCTTGTCGAAGTGAAACTTCTCACAAAAATGTTGTTCTTTATCGTTTTCCATAGAAGCTAACTTGTTTTTTTAACTTGCATTCTCAATGGGTTTTTCCCCCATGTTAGGATGGCATTCTGGCAACTAGGATATAACATGAAAAAAAATGCATAGCTATCATTTTTTTTTCTTTTTTGGGTTACAAGTTACAACCTTGGTAGCTATCTGAAACTGAGAGCTCTGATACTGGTAACAAGATAAATGAAAAAGGATAAGCCTGGAAATGGGTTAAAACTTAAAGCATATGCTTAATTGTTTCCGAAGTCATTCTACTATTGAGAATGAACTTTTAAATGAAAATGTTCTATCATAGCCAGCAGGAGGCGCATTGGCTTAGGTAGTGTACAAAAATTTGGACACCCAAAAACATCAAAGGCCTCTATTTTTCTTGAGACATTAGTTTTAATGACATGGTTATCATGTTTTTTTCAACCTCATCGTTTACTGTCTTAAATTCTTAATTAGTCGATGCTGTTAGATTCTTGGTAATATAATAGGTCATTTATATGGTAATGCATAATTTTGATGTTGAGAACAGATGCTTATATGAAGGGGTATAAGAAGAGGAAGAGAATCCTTAAAGAAGGAGAAAATTGTGCTAGCTATGCCTTTTCTGGGAACACGGATTGGGAACAGAAAGAGAAGACAAAAAGAGAAGCATCAATAGTTGTTGATTCTTTTGATCCATTTGCCATCCCCAATTTGTTCTGAGCTTTAGATATGAGTAAGTTTGGTAGTGTGACAGACGAAATTGTGGCCCTTCGCGCTATGAAGTTAAGACAGCTGAATCATAGTTCCCAAATGAATCCTACACGGTCATTTCTGTGTTCAGAGGTGGAAAACACTAAGAGGAGGAAGAGATTTTCTGAATTTGACAGAACAACAGGACACTCAACCAGCATATCAGAAAGTCATTAATAAGCAGTTATCTCCTCCTGTGCATGCGGCTGTTGTTGATCAGTGGTTTAATCATCAAACAAATGAAACTTTCAGTGATCAGTCAGCAACTCCGCCAGCACAAGATATAATTCATTTGGAGGATGACCATACTGGAAATGATGATAAAAAAGTAACAATCCCCATTGTAATCATCGACTCAGATGATGAGGATAATAGGATTGAGAGGCCTTCTCGTCAGTGCCATAAAGGTGAAGTAACAATCCCCATTATAATCATCGACTCAGATGATGGTACTTGCTTTCTCTCTTTGACTCAGTCTAAGGATCACCCCTGCATTTTCCAGGGTTGAGTATGTTTTATAGTTATGATTTAGTTGCTAATCATTCCACTAAACACTCTTCCACCACCGTCACCAAAAAGAAAAGAAAAGAAAAAGCACAGAAGCTGAAATTCATAAATTTCACCTATTGAATTGCCCAGGATTATCATGTTGAGATAGATCTGACCACCTGGATGATGAGTTTTGGAGAAGAGAAGGGAGCAATCAAGAATGAGTTTTATGTTTTAAAGTTACTGATTGATTGGAATAACTGCAAATAGAACGAATAGTAGTTGCTGAATTAATATTTAATACATATAGAAGAACATTGGAAATGACTGTTCCATAATTGAGGTCAAAGATAGAATGTTGTATGGGGCATTAAAATGAAAAGGAATATGTATACTCTTGCTTTCAAATTTCCATCCTCTTTAATTCAATGTTCTTATTTATTACTTTTATAGATTTGCAATACTGATCACTGTAATCACCTTCAGGTTGATATTGAAGGTGATATGAGAAGAAAGCCTTCTGAAAGTGTTGATCAGGTTACTTGTTGTTCAGAGAGAAAAGCCTCAGAAAAAGTGGAAACTGTCTTGAATATTGATGTTTGGTCATCTAAATACTCATACATTGAAATTGACAACAATATGATGATTAAAGAAGACAATGATCAGATTGATATTGCAGATGACATGGGAAGCAAGCTTTCTGAAAGTGTTGATCAGGTTACTAGTTGTTCAGAGAGAAAAACTTCAGAAGAAGTAGTGGAACTGCCCCTGATATTGATGTTAGGTCAGCTAAAAACACATACATTGAAGCTGATGATAATGTGATGATTAAAGAAGACAATGATCAGGTTATTTGTTGTTCAGAGAGAAGTTTTAGAAGAAGAAGTGGAAAATGTACCTAATATTGATGTTAGGTCAGCTAAAAACACATATATGGAAACTGATAATAGTATGATGATTAAAGAAGACAGTGATCAGATTGATACTGCAGATGACATGGGAAGCAGCAAACCTTCTGAAAATGTCATTGAGATGGATAAACATGTTGATCACCTTGAGAGAGAATCTTTAGGTGAAAAATTGGAAAATTGTCCTGATATTGTGGTCATGAAGGATAAACGCATGTATATTGGAACCAATAATGATCTGGTGATTGAGGACAACAATCAAACTGTTACTGCAAATGATGTTCTGGAAGATATTTGGAATGAGATGGCATTTGCATTAGAAGGCTCTAAGGTATTAACATTAGAATTGATTATTTAGAGTGACAACAGCAGCTTTCTTGTCATGTACCAGGAACTACCGTTTATAGGTTGTCTCAAGTCTCTTTCTTTTGATACTTTGGGCAATGGTTTCTGTAAATGTTTAAGAAGAAATTATTAGAATATCCTGCATAAATTCTCAGGTAAGGAACTGAATCAGTCTTGCAACAAATATCCCTAGTAAGAGAAAATTTAGTCTTGAAGAGATGAAAGTCTTTTTCTGGTAGATTTGACAGTGTCACAGTCTTATAGACGAAAACACACACCATTTTCTTTTGCAGCATTTCAGATGGCAAAATGTTTTAAATATATGTGTAACATACTATGTGTCAAATTTTTGTAAGGGAAGAATAGATTTATCCTGAATATTGTACCATAGTCCAAATTTCCCATGGCAGATTTTCTTTATAGTTGGCTAAATGTTATGCTGCTTTTACTAGGATATTGCTCCAGTTCCTATAGCAGATGAACATTCAAAAGAAGATGAAGACTGTGACCATTCATTTGTACTTAAGGATGATCTTGGATATCTTTGTCGCATCTGTGGAGTCATAGAGAGAGGTATTGAGACCATAATTGAGGTCCAATACAGTAAGGTGAGTTTCTTTGGCTTCATTATTTTTCTTTCAATCTCCAGATGTTAAGATGAAAAAAAAAAATTGTGTAATTTTTTATGTTCATCAAGATCACTTTGTTTGAGAAATTTAGATGATTGAACTTGGATTTGCTGTGTATATGTTGTCCATGTAATTGAAAGTCTGGGAAGCACATCTGTCTGTGCTAGTTCTCTTACAAGATATTTATTTCCGCATTTGAGCTTTCTCTTCCTTGATACTCAGGTCAAAAGGACACGAATTTACATATCAGAACCTCAAAATATGAGTTACAGAGGGTTGAATAGTATTCTTCCTAGTGGAGTTAACTCTTTTGGAGATCATTCAATGCTGACTGAAATCTGTGTTCATCCAAGGCATCAGATGCAAATGAAGCCTCACCAAGTGGATGGCTTTAATTTTCTTTGTAGCAACCTGCTGGCTGATTATCCAGGGGGTTGTATCCTGGCCCACGCACCTGGTTCGGGGAAGACCTTCATGATTATAAGTTTTATACAGAGTTTCCTAGCCAAGTATCCACAAGGCAGACCATTGGTTGTACTACCTAAAGGCATCTTGGCAACTTGGAAGAAAGAGTTTCAAACATGGCAAATTGAGGATATCCCCTTACTTGATTTTTACATTTCCAAAGCCTAGAACCGATAGCAGCAGCTTGATGTATTGCTGCAATGGGAAAAGCAAAAATGCATTCTGTTTTTAGGGTATAAGCAGTTTTCTGCAATTGTCTGTGACAATAGAAGCTGTAAAGTGGCGGCTGATTGTCAAGATAAATTGCTAAAAGTTCCCACCTTTCTTATTTTAGATGAAGGTCACACTCCAAGGAATGATGAAACTGATGTACTTCAATCACTTGCAAAAGTGCGAACGCCTCGAAAGGAGTGGTTCTTTCAGGAACTCTTTACCAAAATCATGTGAAGGAGGTATTCAATATTTTGAATCTAGTTCGCCTAAAGTTTCTGAAATTTAAGACTTCTAGAGCTGCTGTTTCTCGCATCATGAGCAAAGTACAGATATCAGGTGCAAGAAAGCACTTAAAAGCTGGAAATTATTTAGCATTTTTTGACTTGGTAGAGTATACATTACAGAAGGATGAAAATTTCGAAAGGAAAGTGGCTGTCATTCGAGATCTCCGTGAGATGACCAGCAATGTGCTACATTATTACAAGGGAGATTGTCTTGATGAGTTACCTGGTCTTATTGATTTCACTGTTGTGCTAAACTTGAGTGCAAAACAAAAAGAAGTTCAAAAGTTGAAGAAGTCGTGTAAGTTTTCACAAATCGTAGATGGGAGTGCTTTGTATGTGCACCCTCAGTTGAAATACTTTTCAGAGCAGAATCCAGCAGTTGGAGATAGAAATTCATCTGTAATTAATGAGAGGATAGATCAGATGTTAGAAAAAGTTGACGTGAGACATGGAGTGAAAATGAAGTTCTTTCTTAATATACTTGGTTTATGTGAATCCACTGGTGAAAAGCTCCTGGTTTTCAGTCAGTTTATCTTGCCCTTGAAACTTTTGGAAAGAGCATCAATGAAGAGCAAAGGTTGGAATCCTGGAAAAGAAATATTTTTTATAAGAGGTGATTCAACTTCTGAGCAGAGAGAGTGGTCCATGCAACGGTTTAACAGTTCTCCAGATGCTAAAGTCTTCTTGGGTTCTATCAAGGCAGGTGGGGAAGGAATCTCTTTGGTGGGAGCCTCACGCATCCTGATATTGGATGTTCACCTTAATCCATCAGTGACCCGGAAGGCAATAGGACGAGCATTTCGACCAGGGCAAAAGAGAAAAGTATATACCTATAGATTGGTTGCTGCTGATTCACCTGAGAAGGAGAACTACCTTACCTGCTTCAGAAAGGAGCTCGTTTCAAAGATGTGGTTTGAGTGGAGTGATAGCTGTCAATTTCAAGACTTTGGAGTGAACACAGTTGATTTGGACAAGTGTGATGATCTGTTCTTAGAAAGTCCAGTGCTTCAGGAAGATATAAAGGTTCTATACAAAATGTTAATGTTTTTCATTTCTCTTTCAAATTCATTAAGCTATGTAGTGTGCAAAGTTATACTGAAATTTGTTCTATTCTACAATTTTCATGTGAATCCTGACAATGTGGCCCCTGAGGTATCAGTTTAGATGTAGGTAACTCCTCGTTGATTTTCACTAATTCACTTGAATCTTTTTTTCATTGGTAGCAGAGGCTTGAAAGGGAAAGTATCAATGATGAAATAGTTTGTGGAAAAAATTAAGAAATAAAATTGAGTGAAAAATTAAGAATAAAACTGAATGTATATTGAAAAATTGTTCATTCAAAATTATACAAACATTTTATGTTTATATACAACTAACTAGTGGGTAAACTAAAAAATTAATTTTTTTTAAAATTGATCTTATAATTGAGAGATTGTCTATCATAATTTTTTATCTTTAATTTTAAGAATACAAATATTTAATTTTAGATATACAAATATAAATATACAAATGATAAGATTATAATCAGTTGTAAAAAATTTTTCTTACACTTTCTCTCAAGTTGGTAAATAGGTATTTTTCATTCTTAGCTTGAAAATAATTTATTGAAATGTTGCACTACTAAGACATTTAGTTAATACATCTGCAAGTTAACCCTTGATTGATACATATAGTGTACAAATCAATCTACTGTCTAGTTTGCTGACCATTTGTTGATAAATATGGTGTGCAAATCAACTCACTGTGTAGTTTTTCTTTATGAAATGTTGGTTTACTTAAATGTGTTTTGTTTTGTTATATTGCACAAGATTATGTGCAGTGCTTATTGTAGACTTGTTATCACAAGAGTCTCATTAGTCCATCCCATTTAATTTTTAAATCTTTTAAGATAATTTTTAACCATAGTAATTCATAAATTCTTTGAACCATTGCTCTGAACTATGCTTTAGTATTCGATCTTGCCATCACATTCTGTTTTTTACTCCTTCAAGTCACAAGATTACCACCAAGGAAAATGCAGTAACCTGAGGTGGATTTTCTATCAGTTACTGAACTTACATAATTCGTATCTATATATGCCTCTAAAACCAATCCAATTTTTTTTGAACAAAATACCTCTTCCAGGTTTACCCTTCAAATAATACAATACAAGGTAGATAGCCAACAGGTGCATTTCTTTAGGACTATACATAAATTGACTTATCATACTCACAGCATATACTATATCAAGTCTAGTATGTGAGAGATAAATGACTTTTTCAACTAATCTTTAGTACATCTCTCTATCTACAATAGTATTTTCATTTGCGTTTTCAAATTTATAATTAGGATCTATAGGGGTATTTACAAGTTTACATGCGAGCTTTTCAGTTTCTTTTAAAAGATCCATCACATATTTCTATTGTGAGATGAAAAAATCATGTCATGAGTGAGCTACTTCAATTTCTAGGAAGTACTTCAATCTTTTTAGCTCTTTTATCTTGAATTCTCTAGCGAAATACTATTTTAGAGATTCTCTCTCTTTTTCATCATCTTCAGTTATAATTATATCATCAACATACACTAATAGAGTTGTGACTCTTCCTGAATCAGAGTGCTTGATAAATAATGTGTTATCTCTTTGACTCTGCTTATATCTCATTGCTAGCATCAATTTGACAAATCTCTCAAAACAAGCCCTAAAAGATTGTTTAATGTCATATAAAGCCTTTTTAAGTTTACATACTTTATTTGCTTTTAGATGATCTCCAAATCCTAATGGAACCTTCATATATATTTTTTCTTTCAAATCACCATATAGAAAAGCATTATTTACATCAAATTGTTGAAGCTACCAATTGTAATTTACAGCCAATGATAACAAAATCTTAACTATATTTATCTTGGCAACTGGTGCAAAAGTTTCCTAATAATCCACTCCATAAGTTTGAGTGTAGCATTTACCCACCAACCTGACTTTATACATTTCAACAGTACCATCTACCTTGTATTTTGCAATGAAAACCCATTTACACTTAATTGAATTTTTTCTTTTAGGTAACTCCATCAGTTCTCATGTCTTATTTTTCTCTAAGACTTTCATTTTTATTTTCATGGCTTGCCTTCATTTCTTACTGGATAATGCCTCGGATAATATAGTTGGAATAGAAACAGTGTTTAGGTTTATAAAAAAAATTTTGTGAGATGGTAAGAATTTTTCAAATGACACAAAATTAAAGAGTGAGTATAGTGGACACTTAGTACATTCTTTGGTTCCTTTCCTAATGGCAATAGGTAAAACATAATCTCTAATTATAGTTTTACGAGATTTATGCTCATTTTAATAAATAGAGTCAAAGGTTATAGTTACCTCATTTCTAAAGTTAGGATTAAGTTCTTGAACTTGCACTAGTTCAGGATCTGAAACTTTTCTCCTTAAGTATACATGTAATTCCTTCATAGAATCAAGATTAATATTATTTTTTGTCACATCTTCTGTGTTTAATTCAATGTTTGACTTAGACTTAGAAGAAACAAGTTTAAACTTAAAAAAATTAATAGGTGAAAATGTTGAAGAGAATGACAAGTCAAGCAAAAAGAAGACTTTATCCTTATCTTCCATGAATAAAATCTTCATTTAAAGATAAGATTGAGTAAAAAATAGTTTACTTTCTTCAAAAGTAACATCTACAGACACAAAAATTTTTTGGTAGGAGAATGATAATACTAATACATTTTCTAAGTTGATGAATATCTCACAAAAATGTATTTAATTGCTCTAAGATCCAACTTTTTCATATTATGACTGTGAACATGAACAAATTATATACAACCAAATATCTTAAATGTGAGGTTATTTGTGGTATTAAAGTTTGAATAAAATTGTGAGAATAGTTTCATATAAGTTTTAAATCTCAAAACTTTTGAAGGTAATCGATTTATAATGTATATGGCAATGAGAACAATAGGGTTGGCAACGGGTTAAGTTGGGACGGATTTTTGCTCACTTCGAACTTGATCCGAAATTTTTTTTATACCCGATCCGATTTTATATAAACAATACTCGATCCGACCAAAAATTAATAAAATATTTTTTTAATATAAAATATTATTTTTTAAATATAATTATATAAATATATATATTAAAAATTAAAAATTAAATTTTTTATATAATATCGGGTCAGGTCAAGTTTACCTAAAACTCGAACTTGACTTTTCCTCAATAATCTCGACCCGACCCGAAATTCGATTTTCAAAAAAAAAAATCGACCCTATGGGGTCGGGTCAGGTCAAAACCCGTCGGTTGCGAGTTGGGCTGCCAACCCTAAAGAACAGCTTCTTTCAATAAGATTTGGATACGTTTGCTTGAAAAGTAAAACTCAAGTTATGGCTAGTAAATTGTTATTTTTTCTCTCTACTACTCCGTTCTACTGTAGAGTATTAACACAAGATAACTCATAGATAAATCTCTCATTTTAAAAATAGGTAGATAAACTCGGCTACAATAGTCTCTTGCATTATTCAGACTTAAATCTCTTAATTTTCGCTCCAAATTGGTTTTGGATCATATTTTGAAAGTTTAAAATATACTATTTACATCTAATTTAGATTTAAATAAAAATATCCAAGAGACTCTGATACAATCATCTATGAAATAAATAAATCACCTTGCACCAAAATATTATGAATTGTAAAAGTACCCCATATGTCACTACAAATCAAGTAAAAAAGTAAAACTTCTTTTATTGCTAAATGAAAAAAGCAAAGATGGAAGAAACATTTCACATGATAAATTATTAAAAGGGCAATAGAAGAAAATCTTGACTCTGATACCATATAAAAAAAACTAAGAAATAAAACTGCATAAAAAAATTAAGAGTAAAACTGAATGTATATTGAAAAACTACTCATTCAAAATTATACAAGCACCTTAAGTTTATATACAACTAACTAATGAGTAAACTAAAAAACTAAATCTTCCTAAAATCGATCATATAATTGAAGGATTATCTATCATAATTTTTTGTCTTTAATTATAGTGATACAAATACTTAATTCTAAATATACAAATATAAATATATAGATTACAAAATTACAATCAACTGTAAATAAATATTTTCTTTCAGTTTATATTTGATATTTTGTGATATTTGGATCTTTCACTTAATATTTTGGATGTAAAAATTCGGAAGTAGCTATATAGTTTTGTGCAACTGTGATCTATATGATCACAAGGTTTGTTTATTAGCAAAAATCAAGACCAAAATAATACAATATGATCTTCATTCTTGTTGATCTTTGATGGACAAGAAGCCTCACCCTGCGGGCCTCCAAATTGTGTTCGGCAGATAAGTGTTCAAATTTTTTGAGTTGTTAATAGCCCTTCTTCGAGCACTTACTGAACTCTAAGTCAATTTTAAAAGCAGGGACAGGTTAGTGGTACACGGCTGGAGACTTGGATGATCAACATCATCAAGAATGGCCGATTGGAAGATTACACTTTGAAAGCAGGAACCTGAAGCTTTCTAGAAAGCTGAGAGAACATGCTGGAGTTTGAACCTTGTAAAAATGTTGACCAAGTATCCTGAGTTTTTTTTTTTTTTTGGCCAATCCTCAATCAGCATGGCCATTGTAAGGGCCCTATCTTGCAGAAGAGGAAATTGGAACTTGAATGAAATTGGTTGTAACATCATAATGCCAACGAACCGTCACAAAAATAGCTACTGACTTAGTCAGTTCAGTCACCAGTGAAAGAAGAGGCAGCCATAAACGAGGCCCTAAGAATTGTCACTTTCTTTAATACCGAGGCATCCAATATCCATATGAAGTTTCTGAACATGCGGAAAGTTTGATTCTTCCTTTTTTTTCAAATTATAACACTCAAAAAGGTAGAAAAAATTAGAGAAACAGGATAGCCATTCGGATTCAGTTCTTGTCATTAGAAAGTTGGGAAAATAGTAAAAATTACAGAGTTAAGGAGCAGAAGTTGCATCAGCATAGTTGAGTGAATTTGCACCTGTAAAATGTTAATGTGTCACCTGGATAGAACAAGCCAATTCCTACTTTTATTTCAAATCAGGAGTGTTTTTTTCTTCAATACTGAAGCTGCAATTAATTGTACATTTTTCCTTCACATAATGAACAAAAATTATTATCTTTACAAATATGCTAACCCTCCAATCAATTTCTTGATATATTACAACTGTGTTTTATACTTTTCATATTCAGAGGTCTAATATTTCCAATACCTAGGCAACCAAGGTGAACGTTCAGAGGAGTTGAGAACCTGGCTCTCGCTCTCCTGTTTCTTCTCTCCATAAGAGAATAATACATTAACCAATTTAAATCTTCAGTAAAGCACATTTCATGCTACAAAATCATGTAACAAATGAGGGGAACTGAACCTGTGCTGCCGGTTACCAGGATTTATGCATTCAAAATCTGCTGTTTCGGTTCCTACAGAAGATGCTGCAGGATTGTATGTGTCGTCTCCTCTCATTGCAACAAAATTTTGATGGCCTCCACCTGACATAGGTACACTACCACCCTCACAATGCTGCAATCCTAAAGTGAGAGAGACACCAGTTCCCCTTCCAAACCTCCCCAATTCTGACATGTGGTAAGCAGCAGCTGCCATAAACTGATCACCACCACCATCAGAATTACGAATTGCATCAGGGAAGAGGTTAGAATCATCCAAATTGGGACGCCGCTCCTCCCTTAGCTTCAGTAATGCATACTCAGTTTCAGCTTCTCCACGTGTGACATTTAGGAAACCAGCTCCAGTAGTTGATCCTGCCATATCTACATCAGGAACATGGTCGGATTTGGAATCTATCAACTGTCCAGTGCTACATCTCTCTGTGGCTGATGAACTCCCACTTTGTTGCACATCTTCACCTCTGTCCTCAGAGGTCCTTGAATCACCTTTTGTTGCTTTGACTGCATTTTCAGAAGAAGAATTTGAGTCCATTCCTGCATCCACAAATTCTTCCTTGTACATCTCTTCAACCATAGGCTTCCAGAGACGCACCCGTGCATTTATAAACCAATTGGAAACCTGAGTAGATGCAAATGTGCTTTAAGGCAACAATAATGAAACATATAGAAATGATACCACCATTTGAGGATATTGTATAAAGAGATGCTGTCACACACTGACCAATGTTAAAAACTCAAGCAGTACAAGATACACAACATTAATTTATTATATTCTAGCCATTAGTAACTTGCAAGTAGAGCATGTGCTAAGGATTAAAAGGCTACTGAATTTCTCACGGCTATACAGCTGGGCAGAATAGGTTTAATAAAATCTATCGACTTCCTCAATTTGGAAGAATTGGGGCCCATGTTTTGCAAAAGAGGTTGCTTTAGCCCTACTCGTTAAAAACTACTTGTACCATATATCCAGCATTTTAAGCCACTGCTTCCACCACTGATTTTAACCTTTATAACACTTTCCCAGCCAAGTTTCAAGTGAACACTCCTTACACCTAACAATTTGCTATAATCCAAAATTAGAAAGCACTGTTAATCACATCTGTTCCATCCTATGTTAGTAAGATCATTACTTTGTGATTACCTGACTTCTTGTCAAACCTGCTTGTCTTGCTAGCATGATCTTATCAGAATCCTTTGGGTAGCTGGAGCACAAGAAAAATAACAATAAGCACAACTTAGGCATAGAGATCTTTTTGAAAGAAAAATATTTGAGAAATCAGTAAGGAGGGAGTATTATGTCAAACTTACGGATGAAGAAAATGCTCAAACAGCCAAGCACGAAGTATTGAAACAGAACTTTCAGGCAGGCCCCTCTGAGGCCTCCATGCATGTTGTTGCATCATACCAAGCTGCTGAAGAGCTCTCTGTTGCCGGAGCTGCTGATCCACATAACGCAGACGAGTAATTCCTACTCCTTTACCGTTTTCTGAACTATCCTGCTCCCCAAGACTTTTACGGGTTGCCCGAATTTGACCATTAATTGCATCACGCAAGCATCGAAAATGGCGGGATATAGTCTGCAGCGCAAGTGCTGTGTAAGGCTTAGCAGCTCCACACCCTGCTATAACATCAAATGATGACACTACAATCTGCATCTGATAATAATACTGTTTATACCTTCTATCAACCTGCAGCAACATCCATCAGCATTAGACACAATCAGAAAGAAAAGCAATAAAGATATAAACAAGAGAATAGGCCTAACAGCATTGACCTTTCAAGACGACTTTATCTTTATACATGAATTTGCTTACATAATAATGGAGAGATTTACGTACATACATTAACAACGAGAACAATGATGCCACATGAGATGCTAGTGATTTAATCACATGTACCAACTGACATAACAACATTCCTAAAAGAAATTTTTATGGCAAAGAATATAGATATCAATGTCATTTCAGTTGCACCAATCAATCAAACAACAGAAAAGAACAAAGTTCAGCTTTTCAATGCTTCTTTGTGAAACCAGGATGAAAAGGATCCAATAGCTCCTAGGCCTCAGGCTGCAAGAGTTTCTCTGAAAAGCTACCATAAAATGTAGGAAGCTGAAGTGGACATTAGGTAACAAGTCAGGATGTCCTTCAGCAACTATAACCAATTAACCATCCAAATATAAGTTGCAATTCTCAGTTTATTAATATCCTTGGGGTCAAGACAAATCTCACGCCTTGTAACCCAGGGAATAAAAAAGGAAAACAAACATGGGATTTTTCTCCCTTGAACCTTACTAAGTTTGATGAAAAATTTTACGCTCATCTCTCCTAGAGAGAAGAAACCAAGTTTCCTTTTAGATGCTGGACATTTATAGCTTACATAAGATGGAGATCAGAAAGCACCTAAACTCATGCACATGTGTGTGCGTGCACATAAACATGAAGAGAGGGGACGGGAGGTAGAGTTTGTGCACTCCTCAATTAATTGAATTGAAAACTTTTTCTGATCTCAACTTTAGAGAATTGTAGTTTTATAAATTCTGTCACAAATTAATAAATAAAGTGACACCAATAGGAAACAGCCAGGCATTACATCAAATAAAATTCATTTTGCAGTGTAAAAGACATGCGCAAAAGAATGTGTTTCCCTTGGCAAGAGATGAGAAAAAACTACAATCAAGTGATCTGACTCTTACCTCATCCAACATGGACAACAGCTTTGTTAACTTGCTTTGTAGTTCTTGTTTTTCAGCGTGTGAAAGCTCGTTTGGAGAGTTATTGGAGGATTCTTGCTGGTTTGAAGGTACATTCTTTGATCCCCCATCATCTTCCTTGAAACTCTTCATCCGGTTGTCTTGTGAGCTTTGGTTTTTCTCTCCATCAGCCTGCTTTAAAGCCTTTCGAACATTAACAACTTCATCAAGCAGTTGCTGAGCTGCCTTGAGATATTTGGAATTAGGAATAGTTCTTGCAACACTCGGCATTCCATATGCAGATAAATCCCCTTTATTTGAATCTTGGTTACCTCCAGAAAAACCAGGTGGCAAATATTCAGCATTTCTCAACTGTTCATCTCTAGAAGAGCTATTCCTGCTGCCACCCTCCCCAGTAAGTGATGGATTAGGACTCAAGAATGAAGCAAAACCTGAATTGGGATTTCGATAGGGAATAGAAGGTATTTGAATTCCAGAGGGAATTTGAGTTCCAAGGCTTAGGGATAATCCTTGACCTTGCAGGTTTTGACCACCGTGAAGGATGCTGGTAGTACCAACCATTGGATGCATAACTAGAATTTCATTTCTACCATCCCTCCAAGCACCAAAATCATGTTGCCCAACTCGTGAGCCACCAACATTTGACAAGATTTCTTGCTGCTGTGAAGTTGAATCTGAAGCTTCCACATCTTGAATCTCAATGCTGTTATTTTGCTGCTGAGAATTCCCAGCAAATGCATCTGTGTATGACACAGAATTCATATACATCATTGTATTACCAGGAAGAACTGGTGCCTCTGGATATGAACCAGGCATCGATTCTCTTAAATAGATCATTGGAGCAGTATCCCTTTGATTATTGGATCCAGTGTAATATGTAGCCATATTCCTCTCAATCTTTAAACTTTCCTGTCCGCCCGTTCAAGTCAGATTACATAGTCACGCTTCGAACTGAAAGTAGACAATTCACATGAGTTCCATTATAAACAAGTTTGAACATTAGTAAATAGAGTTATATAGAATTCAAAACTGAAGTAGAAATATCTTATAAGCAATAATGCACACCATGTTCTCACCCAAATACATAATCTCAGAACATATACAACAGAATAGAATATTTCATATAACCATATGATTGATATCCGAGTTTGTAAACGGCAGAGGCTAAGCTGCTTGACAATCTATAATTATCAGTTTCTAACTTTCTATTACAAATAGAAGCTTTAGAAGTGAACTAAGGACTTTAAAACTTAAATAGTCTGCACTGCAGGAAACAACACTGAAAACTTTAAACAGAAAATTACAGAAGAATCAGATATAGAGTATATTCTCTATGCATGAGCTCATCATATTTTCTGAGATAGAAAATTTTATAGATAACCAAAAACTACGAAATCTACAATCACTTTAAAAAATACCATGAATGTTCAAACAAAAACTAAAACCACAAGAAACATGATCAAAAAGAAGAACTCTGAGAGCCATCAATTATTTATCAACCATCTAACAAGGAAAAAAGAATGAAAAACAAAAAAAAAAAGAAAAAAGACCCAAGAAACAAGACAAACCCAGAATCTGTAAATCCCAATAAATAACTTTCTTATGATGATCATCTTGTCCAGGCATAAAAGAGAAAAGAGAAAGATAGTGGAGAGAGATTCTTGGGGAAAAAAAAGAACAAAAAAAGAATTTAAAAGACAACATCTTCATCTCTTTGGGTTAAGAAAATGAAAGATAAAGTCAAAAATTATATACATATGAATAAAAAATACCTGAAAACCAGTAACAGTTGTGGGAGTTGTGGGGAACAAGAATTCTCAAAGACACTACCCGATCCGCTGATGGTAACAAAATCCTTAAGAAACCAAACACTTAGTGATCCCAAGAACCCAGAACAACAACAACAACCCAATACTTCACTTTTCATCGAAATTTTTTCACATACCAAACAAAAAAATATAAAAGCAAAATAAACCCAAACTTCAAAAAAACTTCATTTTTTTTTTGCTCAAGAGAGAGAGAGAGAGAGAGAGAGAGAGGGAAAGAAGAAAAAGACAATGAATGAACTATATCACTTTTTTTCCTCCTTTTTTACTAATCATATATTCTTTATCCATCATTTGCATCAAAAGCCACGTGAGAGATTCACACACAAACTTGAATCCAATACCTCTCTCTCCCCCTCTTTCCGTTCCAAAGATGACAGCTTTCTCTCTTCTAACTATTTACCTCTTTTTGGAGATAAAAGAAGAAATAAAAGAACTTTTTGCTTTTTGAGGTTATTTGCTTTGAAACCCAGTTGTAGTAGGTGGTACTACTTGACCCCCTTGTCTCTTTTTTTGCTTCTTGTTTCAAATTCTTCCTCTTCTTCTTCTTCGGGTGTTGTTGCGCATATGTTTGGTTAAGGAGTTCTATCTCTAACTACCAGTTGGTGGACCTAAAACCCTCCCTTAAACCTCCTCTTTCATCACCATCTCTCTCTCTCTCTCTCTCTCTCTCTCTTCTCAATCCCCTTTGTTGTCTCTCTCATCCTTCAGCATTGAAGCTCTGGTTTTTCTTTTGCTGCAATATCCACCATATAACCCCATATTCTATTGTATTCTGTTTTTTTTATTATTATTATTTACTCTACTACTAGTTTTTTTATACTCTTTTTTTTTATTTATTTATTTATTTATTAAATGGGAAAGGCGCACCAGTAGGTGCCCTTATCACTGCAGTTGTCCTTTTCTTCTAATTTAATGTTTAGTTTAGACTCCATGGTTCTCTACTTTTCTTTATTTATACTTTTATCCCCTTTATTTTTTATTATTGCATCATTGGCATCATAAGTTTTAATCCTCTCAAATATGTAAATTAGGTTAGTTGTGTTATAATATTTAACTTCTTTCCTCGTTGATAAGGATATTAAATTTTTTCGCTTCAATTTATTTTTGCTTCTTTTAATTATCTCCACCTAATTAAAAAATTTTCAGACCAAAGAAAAACCTATTAAATATTTAACCTCAATTTTTAATTTATTCTAATCTAGAAAATTTTTTTATTATAATTATAATTTTTATTGATATATGAGATTTCATTTTAAAAAATCCAAATAATCAATATGTAAATTTTTTTCCTAATCTATTTGGCTTGCCTTTTTAAAAAAAATTATTTCCCGTGAAAAAATGCATTAGGTGAAATTGAATGGATGAGAACTAAAGATTCGAAAAAGTAGTGTGTGCCCTTTAAAAAAGGTAACATTCAAGTTTTTTTTTTTTTACATGAATGAAAAAAAAATGGGATAATAATAAATATAAATATTGGCCACAATATTTTATTTTTTTTATTAAATTCAAATAACTTTTTAAATAAACATGTGAAACTTCTTAAATAAGTTGATAGAAGTCAAAAGACATAAAAAAAATTTCCAAATTTTTCCATAAGTTTGAAATTTAAAACCAATATTTAAAAAAAAAAATTAAATATGATTAAAATGTGATGATTTTATCATTAGTTGTGGTGGTTTTGTCTAACTTGATTTAAAGGAACCAAGGATAGGTTAGCCGTACAATTTAGGGTGATTAGATTTGTCAAATCAAAATATTAGAAATTAAAATGTGGGCTTAAATTCAGTTATAAATAAGCTAAACTTCATATACCAAACATTTTATGTTAATTATCTCTACTCTAGGAATCCTTACATTTCTATACCTACTATAACAAAAATAAAGGGAGACATATGTTGGTTTTTCACGAAAAATCCACCAAAATTTTCTCATAGTTTTCAATTCGTTGACCACCAAAAAAAATAATCACTTGTCTTTATTTTTTAATTTTATGATTATTTAAAAAAAGTCACAACATGAGAACAGATAAAGAAATTGTAAATATTAAATTTTAAGTTTTATAATTTTTAATTTTTAATTTTTAAAATAATTGCATGAATTAATTAAATTACATTTTGGATTTCTAATCTTTTTTTATGGTATATAGTTTTGAAAATAGACCCAATTATTTTGTAATTGGAAACAAAAAATAGTATAAATGTATAAAATGAGGCAAATTTTGAAAGATTGATAATGGGTAACATAATTTGTAAGGTAAGGCAATTATAATATAGGTATTATGGACCCCATGCAGTTCCAATTGCTATTGTTTTTTTTTTTTTCCTTTTTATTGGCTGACTTAAGGGAAATAAACTAATTTAGATTGCCTCCATCATATAGTTAAGAAACAAAGATTAATAGAAAGTTGGTCCATTTCACTATTTTATGCAATTTATATTGCTATAAAGTTTGAGTTGTATACTTTATAGGCATTCAAAGTTCATAGGAGAAGAGGGCTCAAACTTAATTGAAGTATCATTTCATGAAGTAAACTCATGTGAGTAAAGATTCAATGACTTGAATGATTTAAATAAGCTTGGATTTTTTCTAATTATTAATAAAAAATTTATTAAAGTTTATTAAAATTTAATTACTTGAATACTACAAATTAAAGACTAAAAATATACTATATTTGTATAGGAAATGTGAACCGATACTCAATGATAATGATTAAAATAACATATAAAAATAGATATGCAATTAATGCCTTTTTTATTTTTAATTAATCAATAAAATCCTTTAAATTTTATTAAGACATTAGTTAATGAAAGGCTAAAATAATAAAAAAAATATCGAACTTTGCCAATTTTTTAAAATTAATTTTTATAATTTTATTATATCAAAATAAGTTTTTCTTTTTTATTTTATATCCAAATAAACCTATGAACTTTAATTTATATAAAAAACCTTTAATATTTAATTTTTATCTAAATAAGTATTTAATATAAATTAATCTTTTATTTAAAATAATAACTTATTTTGATACAAATTAAAAAATAAAAAAATAAAAATTTATTTAAATAAAATGATAAAAATCATGAATTTTTTTATATTTTAACCTTAATAAAATTCATTAAATTAATCGTTGCAACAATCATTCATTAAGATTTTTGGTTTTTAATAAATTATTTATTTTATAAATAATTGGGATACCGTGTCCCAACTCCCACGTTTTTCTGTCTCATCACTCCAAAAAGCCTAATTAAACTCATTGTTTAGCTTAGAAGACAAACCAAACCAACAGACAATAATTGTGGCTTAAAAACAAAGATCAAACGTAAACCAAACCTTACTAGTAGCTGAATGTGAGCGGGGCATTTTAGTAATAAAAGGAAAATCATAGGACTAAACTGACAAAAGGCCAAAAAAAGCTGCCCACAAGAGAAGAATAGCTTTGACGTTTGGGCGCAGGGAGGGAGAGAGAGAGAGAAAAGAGATGTCGTTGGGATTGGCGAAAAGAGCAAAGGAAAAAATCTAACGTCAAATAAGTGGACAGATGTGATTGGTTGGAGGAAGCAGGATTCCACTTTCAATACGTATGATTCAGTGTTTTTATTTTATTTTATTTTTCGTTGTTTTATCTGACACAAAACGGTCAAACCTGCCAACTATCATTGTTGTTTTTGTTTTGTTTTGTATTTGATTAAACAAAAAGAGTGTATACGCTTGAACAAAATCACATTAAGTGATATTTAAAAAAATTGTAATTAATTTGTTTCGTATAATCTGATCAAAGTAATAAACATTAAATATATAATTATTTTAATTAATATTTTAACTATTCTCATCCGATATCTATTAGCATCATTAATCAAACTCTTAAAAAGTGATAAATATGAAATAATCACTTAAAAATTCTAATAATTTATGAATAGTAATTATTTCATTATGTTTTGATAAATATTTGATCATTTTATGTGGTGATGATTGTAAATCACAAAAAGCGATAAAATCATCATTTTTTAAAGTGATTTTTTTTCATTTGAATTGATAAAAAAAAATTTCATCTTATATATAAAATTAAAAATAATCGATATTATTTATTTAATATATGAATTAATTTTTTTTAAATTTTTATTTATTTTATATTATAAATATTTATATATTTAAAATAATATTAATTGTAATAAATTCAAAAATAATTCGTGTGCTTTTTCTTAATTTTTTTAATGTTGTACAAATAATACAATAATTTTTTATTTTGTTATGGTTTAAAAATATTAATTTTATATTCTAATTCAAATATTTTTTACATAATTTATATTATAAAAATTTTTTTAATTAATTAATAAATATGTTTAATAATTTAATTATTTTCTTATGAATTAAATAAAATACTACTAATATTTTATAAATTACTATCTTTAAGCAATATAGAAATCATTAACTTATATAACTATTATTGTTTGATTTTTAGTATTTTCAATCAAAATAATATTTGATTTTAGTATTATCAAACTCAATGAGCTTTAATTCATAAGAATTAATGATTATTAACCAAATAAAGTGATTCTAAATCATGAGTGATAATATCATCTTAGTAATAAGATCACATCGGTAATTAAATTATCATAGTGATATTGAAAATAATACCAAACAAAATCTTATATAAATTAAAAATGATTATATATCATCAATGAAATTTAATTTTTTTCTTCCAAAGAATGTAATTAATTAGCATATTTTAAAAACAATTAATAAATTAGTATAATAAATAAAAAGTACATAATAATATTTTATCTTTTAGTCAAATTTAAAATTTCATTAACCATGTATATAATAAAGGTTTTATTTTTTAGTAGATATCAATTTACATTAGCATAAGTTATATTTTTATTATCTTTTGACCAAAATTAAACTTATGATTTATTTGGATTAAAATAATATTTTTAATGAAAGACTAAAAAAAATGTAAAATTTATGATAGTGTAAATGAGTCTCTTTTATAATATAATAAAGGTTTTATTAATGAGTGCTTTTAAGTTACTTTTTAAGGTTATTATATTAAGTAGTTTTTTTTTTTTTTTCAATGCATTAAACTTGGTTGAGTGGTTAGATTGTTCATTCAATTATACTTACATATCACATTATGTAATGCAAAGTGACATAAAGCCAATTTCAGTCACATTTCTTGTAAGTTCATGATCATCAACTTCCAACATCCATGCCTTGTTTAGGAAACATTGGCCCTGCCTACATTTTGTATGATTGGACTTACATTTGTACAATAAATATCACTTTCTTAACTCCCTTTCAAATAGTTAATTAAAAAAAATAAAATTATTTGTGCAGAAGATTAAAAAATATTTTTAGAGCAATTTGTATTAAAATTTAATTTAAAAAAATTAAAGATAGTATGATTCGATAATCATTTGAACTCTGTAATATTTTATTCCAGTTAATCAAGTTTTTAATATTCTATTTCAATTAAATTAAACCTTTAATTTGATGAAATTTAGTAACGTGATAAAATTGAATTAATCAATCTTTGATATATAGTTTATTGGACCATTAAAGGGACCTTTAACAAAAATAAGAAGAAAATATAAAAAGAAAAAAATTATTTTATTTAAAATTTACATACATTAATTAGGTAAAATTTAAAACTTTTATATATTTTATTGATGTCATATAAAATTTTATTTTAATTGGCAAAAAAATTATCGGTGTTGAATTTTCATCAAAATAAAAGTTTAATTGAATGCAAATAAATATTAAAGAAATTGATTGATTGGGGTAACAAATAAAATACTTGAATGATTTTTTAAATTCTAATTTATAAGGTTTTTATACCCTTTATTTTATTTTATTTTTTAATTTTAAACCTAACATCATTTTGTAGGATAAAGGCTATACTAAGTAATATTAAGTGGTCATTCCATTTTGACAATAAATTAATGAAGTATTTGGTAGAAGTAAATTAAACTATAGTAGGATTACTGGTAGCTAGATAATAAATTCTTTGAAATTAATCCATCATTCATTAAACCAAGGGTTTTATTTATAATTATGGAAGAAAAAACATTTACTTTATGGAACAGAAAAAAAAAAAGGTGAGATAAAAGAAGCATCAGTTGATAAATTATTTTTAAATCTGGAAAGAATTTTGGTCACTTGGCTTAAATAATACTTTGCCGAAATAATATATTATAATCTTTGTTAGCTCAAAGATTTGGAATAAATCCAGAGAGGGGTGAATTGGTTTTAATGAAATTTTCAAAAATAATATTTAATAAGCATAAATTTTGCTAAACAATTAAACACAATAATTGAAAGTAAAAAAGAGATTGAGATATAGAAAATAACACTGCAATTTATAGAGGTTCGGTTATTCTTTAGGCACCTACTTTCTCTCCCTTAGCCTCTCTTACCAATGACTTCAATCCACTATAAGTGTTGAAAATTACAACCAAGCTTCCCTAAGTTTTACAAACTAACACAATATACTCTTAAAGGTTATCCTCTCCTTTAAGCTTACAAACTCACAAAACAGAAAAATAAAGTGTTTTGCAAACTCTCAGAACCTCACAAAGGTTGGGTGTTTGCTAAGTTGAAGTACATAAAGGTATAGATAAGAGAATGATGAATGAACAATAAAAATAGTTTGGACACAATAAATACAAATATGTAGACTTTTTAGCTCTAAAAACTATTGATTATTTGAGAAAATGAAAATATTGTTTATTGACTCTTGCTCTCTTAATTGCTCTGTCTTCTTGGTGTGTTGAAGTGCTTTCTTTATAGATAAATTGATGAACTAACCGTTAGGGAAGCTTGGAGTAAAGAAATGCCCGTTGAAAGCATGAAAAAGTAACCGTTGGAGCATTCTGGGCAAGAACCGATTGATCCCTTCCATGAGGGGATCGATTGGTTCATGTTTTGAATCATTTTTCACTTAAAATTTGCCTAACCAATCGATCCCCTATGTGGGGGGATTAATCTCTTTTCTGGAAATTAAGTCACGGGGCATTCTGGTTGAAAACCAATCGATCTCTTATAAAGGGGATCGATCCTATCCATGCTGGGCGGTAGTTTCATGTTTTGTACTATACTCACTAATTTGATCATAACTTGAGTTATACAAATCCAAATTATAAACTGTTTAAAGATTTAGAAAATATACTTAAAGGGCTTTCTATCTATATAAAGTTCATCACCTAATTCACTGTGTACAAATTATAGTCAATTTTCAAATTTATCCCATGTGCAATTTTTCTGACAATTACAGTGTGTCTGGTAAAAATTTAAAATCTTTTTCGTAAAAAAATTAGATTTTGATTTTGTTTAATCCATTAGAAAGTAGACTCAAAGAGCTTTTCAACTATATAAAATTCAAATATTAAAACATTGTGAATTAATAATGAAAAATAAAACAAATTCAATGTTGGAAAATTGTGTTATTGTAAAACAACTTTCTTAAGTTAATCTATTTCTCAAAATCAATATTGTCAAAATTATATTAAGTCCAAAATGAATAAGTTTATTTTAAAAATAATAATTGAACTTTCATTTAAGCTCAAATAAATAATATTTAAAAGTAAATTTAGTTTGAAAAATATGAAAACAAAAAAGGTTTGTTTAAGCTTTAAAAATCATATTATTTATTTAGCACAAAAATATAAAACTTAAGAACATATACTAAATAAATTTTTTTCAAAATCTTGATCAAGTTTATTTAGCTTTAATGTTTTGTCATTTCAAAATAAAGATCAATTAAAAGCTAACAATCTTATTCCTTAATTAATACGAAATTTGCATTTGAATTTTTTTACAAAAAGATACTATACTTTGAGGATAAAAAGATTATAAATATTAAAAATTAAATATAAATTTTATTAAATATTATTTTTTTAAAAATTACATAAATCAATAAATTTAAATTTAAATTCATACATCTTAGAATTAAAAAAAAATGATAAAATGAAAATTTGTCAATGAAAACCGAAGACTTTTGAAGATTCTCAGATTTTTTAATTTTGTATTTATTTTATGGTAGCAGGAAAGAAGAGTGCTCGATAAATCAATTAAACCATATTCTTATCTAACAATAAGCTTTTTAAAATCCCACTGACTGTCCATTGATCGTTACTTAAGCTTTTTGCACCAAACCTTGATTAATAAATTCAGGAGGGACCATCTAGCAAATTATCACAGAGAAATTATTTTAATTTTTTAAAAATATAAATCCAACTTCACTTAAAATTTAATTTTTTTAATATCTAATTCTAAACGAATTATACAAATTTGTTATTATTCAACTAATTCAAAATCATAGTGATTTTTATAAACAAAATTGCCAACTGTAATCTCGCTTATATTAGCTTAATTAGTCGGTAATCCTCAATTAACAATTAGGATATATGTCCCAAAACTAGTTCAAGTTTATCTTTCTTTGACAAGTAGGCAGAACATGGAATTGACACGTGCACAAGTGGTCGATCAGTAGATGATATCAGCGATGATAAAAGAGAATAATGCGGGTGGCCCCCACCAGAGACGCAAAGTCTAGGAGGCTTTTTTGTCGTTCCGCCATGCATTTTGTTTGGTCTGTGAAATAATAAAAATGAAATGGGCCGCCCCTCCTTTTCCTCCCCTTTTTTTTTTTTTTTTGTTTTAACCTTAACCTTAAAGTTGGGCAGTTCTGCTTTAACTTGGCGTAGGTTTTGCGTTACTTAAACTTAAAAACAGAAAAAAAATATAATTAAATAAAGGCAAACTGAGTCCGCTTTTGTTTGTAGCTCCTACCTACTGTCAAGCAGTAATTACTTATTTATTGTTTTATTATTTAGGATTTTGATCTTAACTTTTTAACCTCAAAGATTTTAAAGAGTTTTTACTCTACAAAAGTTAGCATAAATAATAATAACAAAGTTTGGAGCCTGCAATAGAACACTAAGGTTTTTTATAAAGAAAACGGCGGTGTAAAGAAATTAAAAACAAATTATTAACGTTAGCGATCAAATCATATTAAAAATTCATCTCCTTAAAAAAATGGATGAATTATCGTGATTAAACTTCTTATTAAATTTAAGAAATATAATTTATTTATCATAGTTTTTAAATTTTACAAAATTAATAAGATAAAACATATCTCTTAAAGTTTGTTGTAATGAAAATTTTTGAAATTTTAAATAAATTTGGAAGGAATGAATTTTAAAATTCTTTTTTTTTAATTCTTAATTTATCCTTAAATTATTTTTATCCGGCTACATATTTGTCTGAAAAAGATATTATAAACTTAAATTCTCTTAAACCTGTAATCTTTAAATGCTAATTTCAATAAAATTTATCATTTTAAACTGTTAATATTTGTAATTATTTTGTTTGAATAAATATTTATAAAAATAGTTTATTGGAATTTATGCAATAAAAATAATAATAATAGAAGAATATTGATATTAAAAATAATATTTATTTCTATATATACGAATAAATAAAATATACAGTATGAGCATCAGTTGTATAAATATAAAATATTGTTAATAATATAAAAATAAAAAAATATTAAAGTTAAATAAAATAATATTTTCTTTTTTGATTTTATATTTTATAATAGGCTAAGTACCAAGAGGAGATGAAGGATTTGGAGAAAATTTAAAAAACTACCTCTTTAGGTTAAATTTTCAGGAGAAATTTGAGCACTTTAAGAATGTGTTTGAATAAAAAATTTTAGGGAGAGATTTCATTTGTAAAAAGATTTTTAAAATGTTAAAATAAAATTATTTTATTTTGGTAAAATAAAAATTTTTCTTACAATTTTGCTTAAATTTTGAAATTCTCTATTATTTTTATTCAAACAAGTAAATTCAATTTGATATTTTTGAAAAACTTGATTAAAATATAGTTTCTCTTCTAATTTCCTTATCCTAATACATCTATAGGATATATTTAAAAAATAAAACATATATTAATCTTTTAATTTTGCTTATAAAATTAAAAAAATTAAACTTAAAAATGTATCAAATACTAACTCAAAATTTAACGTGAAATCTTTGTAATGAATTTTTGTGACTGAATTTATTACATCTTAGCTACCTAACTTTCATGTGTGCAAACTTTGTTAGTTACAAAGACAGTCGATTTTGCAAAATTTAATACGAGCATTATTACTATTGCTAGCACTATGTTTTTACCTCTCTGCATTTATTTTCCTTAAATGTGGCTTTTCTCTCACCCTACTTATCTCATAAAATTACGTCATTTACTGGTTTTTTTACTTTTATTTAGATTTTTCTTTTCACGAAATTGCCTAAATTAATTAAAAGAAGAAAATTCCTGTCCCAGTTTCTTCATGGACCACACAATGAACGTAACAGCTCAGTACTATGGGTTTCATTAAAGTCTTATAGGATGGCATTAGCCTAGCGCCAGCTGCTGCTGTAAGCCTTAATGCGAGCTATCAGAGAAGAGAGCCATTTGTTTCTTTCACTTTTATGAGCAATGTTTTATTTTATAGCAGGAAAAAGGAAAAAAATGGAAAAATGGAAAAATATAAGAAGTCCATTAAATGTTTTATCTAAATGGTAGTTTGAACAAGTAAGAGTAGAAAATTTTGTAATGAAGAAACCCTAGTTATAATAAACTATGAATTATTCTTGGTCACAAGAGATTTTCTCGCTGAAAAAAGGATAGAATTTCAGCGGTAACTTGTTCAGCTTTCTCTTGCTGGATAAAATGGTGTCCATCGATGACAACAACTTCAAGGTCAGTGACAAGGCTCCTAAATTCTTCTCCTTGAATATAGTGTTTTGTTCCAAATGATTCAAACCCTGTATCCTTGTTACCAACTATGAATTTTGTAGGCACAGTAATTTTTGATCCTTGCCATGGTCCAAGAAGCTCCCAGTTCCTAAGTTCATACCAGGGAATGAAAATTTGGAAAATAGTGCAGGCCAGGAAATTAAGTTTAATATGTAAACTGAATTGTGCCTCTAAAAAGGAAAAAAAAAAGGTTTTTCTGTATGATCTTACATGTCCATGGCACGGTAGTAGTTCAGGGTACCAGTAAAACCAGATTTTTGGAATTTGATTGCCTGCAATTCAAGGTCTTCCTGGGTTATCCAATCAGGCAAGGAATGTGGGGTCTCAAGAAAATCTATAATTTCAACACCAGGAGGAGCAGCTAGAAGATCAGGGGCGTTGATGAACAAAAACTTCTTAAGTATCGTCAAGGAGTCGTATTTTGAGAATGATTTTTCAGCTCTTCCTGGCTCCTATATATAATAAAAGAAACACCCACGTCTGTTATGGCAGATTATTATGGTTCAAAAAGATCCAGGTGCAAAGAACTTTTCCATATATGCTTTGGTTTTACCTGGAACTGGGAAATGTAGAAACCTTCTCCAAATGTTTCAGTCATGAACTTGATCGGTTTGATTTTTGGTGAGCGTGGGAAGTAAGGCACGCTTAAATTTACCAGGGCTTTAACTCTATCTGGCCTGAAGAGGCAAAGGTGCCATGCAACTTGTGCACCCCAATCATGTCCCACCACAAATGCCTGTCCAGAGAGACCACATAGCTTTGTTTGTTGCGTTAGTGCAAAAAATGGAATATTCGCATTTTTCTTTCTTCATGGAACACAGCAGGATCTTTTTCCTGGTAAAAAAAGAAAGAACATAAATTAAAATGAAATTTGCACCTGTTTTATGCCAAGCTCATCAAGAAGGCCAATTAAATCTCCAACAAGATGGAGAACTGTGAAAGAGGCTGGGTTTTCGGGGCAGTCCGAGTCACCATAGCCTCTCATATCTGGCGCAACAACATGAAAGCCATGGTCAACCAAATGATTCATCTGATACTTCCAGGAGGACCACAGCTGAGGAAAACCATGAATAAGGAGTACAACAGGTCCTTCTTCTCCTTTCTCTGCTATATGCATCCAAATTCCATTGGTCCAGACCCTTCTATGTTTAATATCACTCATGATTTCTCCTACTTATTTTCTTTCATAGAACTTCATTTCCTTATGTAGTACAGTTGTTTGATGATTTAGAGCCGTGGAGGCTTGGACTTTTCAATGCCGGTAGGTATTGATAATGACTTATTCACCTGGAAGGAAAGTTCAAAATATTTGGCCTGATAAATTAAAAAACGCCTCTAAATTTTATTATTTTATTTAAATAAATTTTCATAATTTTTATTATACCTAAATAAGTAATTGACGTTTAATTTGCATACAAATAAATATTTAAACTTTAATTTGTATTTTAATAAACCCTTAATTTTTAGTTTATATCTTAGTAAGTCCATAACTTTTAATTTAAACCTAAATAAGCTCTCACTGCAAATAAATCTTTTCTTTGACATAAAAATTTATTTGAATATAAATAAAAAATAGGTTTATATAGATACAATAAAAGTACAATGATTTACTTTAAAAAATAAAATAGTTTCAAAACTTTTTTGGTATTTTAGCCTATACAAAATTATTGGCATAAGGGTTAAAAAAACTCTCAAACAAAAATTCATTAATCATTAAAATTTTGATATTTTATTACAATTAATTAAATCTTGAATATTTTATTTCAATAAGTTAAGTCCTTAAATATCTATTTTCTCTTAATTAAAGATTTTTTAATTTTACAAATGAAATTAACACTCTATCAATTGTTTTATCTTTTAATTATTATATTTTTATTTTATATTATATCTTAAGAGATACGTATAATTCTATTAATTTTTTTGTGAAATTTAAAAATTTTATTTTTCGTGAATGTGATAATTTCTTTTTAATATACGTCTTTAGAAAACAAAAGCTAATAATTTTTTTCTGGTGTGAGATAAGATTTGATAATTGATTTGAAGAGAGGAAATGACAAATGAGTGCACTAAAATGATAAAAAAAAAACAATTATACCAGTTTTTTTTTTTTAAATTATATTGCTAATAATTTTAAAAATTTCAAATAGTTGGATCAAATTTTAGGGGAGTGGCGGTGCATCAAAATTAGGCCCATAAATTCATGGACCGAAGCGTATTTTGGGCCTTAATCCATAAGGGAGCCCTACACCAACAAACCTAATCCATTTTCATTCCCGACCCGTATCAAATTATAAACCCCACACGCTCCTACGTTCTAAGAGCGGAGGATTTTAGGATTTTAGGTTCCAAATTTCATTCACCGGCTCAGCATCCAAAACCATCAATGGGGAAAAACAAGAGATCGGAGAAGAGACCCGAATCCGAACACTCACCTTCCACTGTCTTCGTCACGAACTTGCCCTACTCTTTTACAAACTCTCAGGTATTTTCCATTATAGAAAATTAGATTGAGGAATGATTCTTAAGTTCTTTTATATATAGAAAATCAGTAGTAGTAATTTTTATTTAAATGTTTGAATTTTTTTTTTCAGCTTGAAGAAACATTCAGCGATGTCGGTCCAATCAGGCGTTGCTTTATGGTTACAAAGAAGGGTAAGTGACTGACTAAGTGCTTTGAGGGTTGAGGCACGCAATTTAATTTTTCGTAATGATTTTAATCATTGGTTCGTAAGAATACTGATATGTTATTTATATTGTTCATAGGCTCAACTGAGCATCGTGGTTTTGCTTTCGTTCAATTGTAAGTTAATTGAGGTTCATTTTTATCTTTTTTTTTTCTTATATTTTGTTTTACAAGCTTTATTAATTTGAAGGGTTGGGCTCAATTTTAATGCTTCGTTTGGGGATAAACTTTTGCCTTTACCTTTTGTTTAGTATTTTCATCACTTTTTGCAGTGCTGTTATCGAAGATGCAAACCGTGCTATTGAGTTGAAGAATGCTTCTTCTGTTGGAGGTCGGAAAATTGGAGTTAAACATGCTATGCACCGTGCTTCATTGGAACAGCGACGGTCAAAGGCAACCCAAGGTTTTTATATTTCAAAATAGTTCTGGAATTATATGTATATGTTCACGCAAATGCTAATTAGTGGCTGTCTCAGATGACACGACAAAGACACAGACAAAGAATGACAAGGATGGTGTTACCTCAATTGTAGACGAGCATGGTTCAAACCTGCCAAAATTAGGTTGCAAAAGCTTTTATATTATCTAATTTTAGTCATTTGTTGTTAATTCTCATTAGTGACTTGTTTCATTTCCTGATTTTGATTTGATATTTTGAATGTAAATATAGAGAAACCTGTGCAACCTAGAAAAGCAGCAACACTTTGTGCTGATCTAACTGATAAAGAGAATTGTTCAGAAAAGCAGAGGTACTGAATTCTTTTGCCAATCTTTGTGATAAAATACTCTTTCTGGTCTATAATTCCCAATAATGGAATTAAATATAGATCCTTAACATCATTGTCTAGTTCGTGGCAGTCAATTTTGAATTAATTTTCACTCATAAAATGAATCTTTAGAGTGCTTTATGTTCTTTTTTCAGATCATATTAGAGACACTTGTTTTCTCATGCACTTTCAATTACTGTTTGACAATAATGATAATCACTTTCTGACGCATCAAGGCTTGACTTTTCTGTTCCCTTGTCAATGTTATGAAGGGTTGCTAGGACTGTTATATTTGGTGGTCTTCGTAATACTGAGATGGCAGAAGATGTTCACCGACGTGCAAAGGAGAGTGGCACAGTCTGTGCTGTAACTTATCCTCTTCCAAGAGACGAGCTGGAACATCATGGTAAGTGAAAAAGTTGTCCCCTATGAAACCTGGAAAATGAAAGCTCAGTAATAGACTAATGTTATATAAAGAGCTCTTTGGATAGTTTGATAGGGAACTGAAAAAATTCCTAATTTCTACATTGTCGGTGTGCAATATGTTCTTTATAGACATATTATCAGTTTAAATAGCTTGTGATATAAGCAAGCTGGTTGTAACATGTGTACTTGATATAAGCATCTAATGCATTTTGTATATGTCTTTGGCATGTGCATACACCATTGCTGTAATGGCTTTCCATGCATACTTGGATGCTTTCATTGCCTGATTATATTCATTCACTAGTAATCTATTAAGTTGCAGTATTTTGGTGCTTCCAAATTCTTCATAGTTATATTTTGTTAAGACATATGACATCTGGTTTCTGGATTGAAAATTGACTGATAATCCAAGTCTTTGTTTGAGGATTACTTTAATTGTTGTTGATAATAGCAAACCATAAAATGCAAAATTTACTAGGTCTTGCACAAGATGGATGCAAAATGGATGCTTCAGCTGTGCTTTTCACAAGTGTCAAATCAGCTCATGTTGCTGTGGCAATGCTGCACCAGCAAGAGATACATGGAGGCGTTGTGTGGGCACGCCAACTGGGTGGCGAGGTAAAGTAACCCTGATGAAGCAGTCATGCTTCAACTGGTACTTATTTATATATTAATGATTTACTAATGTAATTCTTTAAGTTCATTTTCTGAGTTCATACTTTTAACTATTTATGCTTGAGATGATTTTATTATTTCTCTCTTTTACTTGTGGTCCAGGGCTCCAAGACTCAAAAGTGGAAACTAATTATCAGAAATCTTCCTTTCAAGGTTGTTTGATACTAATAGAGTATTACCCCTACACTTGATTTTACTGGTTGAGACTTGAAAGCCCTTAACTTCTAAAGTTGTTTACCATACATTGTTGCAGGCTAAATTGAATGAGATAAAGGATATGTTTTCAGCAGCAGGGTTTGTCTGGGATGTATTTATTCCACATAATTCTGAAACTGGGTATCTTCTCATGATACAGAGTCAATTAAATTTTGTATTTTTTCATTCATGTAATGGTTTTGTCCTTTTTTTCCAGGTTAGCTAAGGGTTTTGCTTTTGTCAAATTCACAAGCAAACAGGATGCAGAAAATGTACTCTTTCTGGGTTATCCTTTAGTCCAAGATATGAAGCTTTAGAGTTTTTTGTTACCTGTTTTTACATTATTTTTCATTTTCAGGCCATTCAAAAGTTCAATGGGCAAATGTTTGGTAAAAGACCCATAGCTGTTGACTGGGCTGTTCCTAAGAAACTTTACAGTGGTGGTGCTAATGCTCCCGTTGCTTCAGATGATGGTTTGAGTCCTAACTGAATTTCGTCTACTCAAGGATGCTTGTTATCTTGTTTTCTCTGAGCCTTTGTATCACCCTGAGCTGAATTAACTTTATGGATCAATCATCCATATCAATTATCTAATAAAGAAGTTATATTTCTTATGGTTATAGAATGGGAGAAGATGAACATATGAGAGTAGAGAATTGTTGAAAAGTATTAAACTATGTTCTTCCTTAATTATTTTAGGAAATTAATTGCACATATGCAATAAGTTTCTTCTGCCATGAATGGTTTTTTGATAGTTTGTTATTATTAACTATCTGAATGGTGATTAATTGTCTGCATTTTCAAGTCACATATATGTATGTTTGTGTATCACACACACAATAGGGATTTTTGATTTTTGAGTTTTGTATATCAAATATATAGTGATGTACCTGATATATGTTGAAGTTGGTGCTTTTGCTTCATGGTAATTGATGTTTTTTTATTTTATCACTCCTCTTCTATACTTGACTTTTTATATTTCATGCCATTTTCTTGATAATTTCTTCTTTTATTTTTGCATTTAAGTTTGCAATGGGATATGTATCTCATTTCTATTGTTTTACAGGGCAGCTGAATGAAAGAGACGATGAAAGTGATAGTAGTAGCATTGATATGGAGCATGAAGGTGGGAATGGTGATAGTGATGGTGATATTGCTTCAGATGATTCAAATAAATCAGAGACAGAAAGAACACCAAAAGCAGTCGATTTTGATAAGGAAGTAGACATTGCAAGAAAAGTTCTGAATAGCTTGGTGACATCCTCTTTTAAAGATTCTCTTTCTCTCCATGATGATGCCACTATGCCCAAGAGGGATGACAAGTCGAATGTAGATGAAACCACTAACGTGCTAAATAACTTACACATTGAATCTGCAGTAGAATCAGATATGACTAAACCTGAAAAATCCAGCAAAAATAAACAAACAAATGTTAAACAGATGGATGGAGAAGATGAATTGCGAAGAACAATTTTCATAAGCAACCTTCCATTTGTTATTGATAATAAAGAAGTGACAGAAAGGTTTTCTGGATTTGGGCAAGTGCAATCCTTTCTTCCAGTCCTTCATCCAGTTACCAAGTAAGGATTCAATCCAGTTTAAAATGTTTTGTTCCCTTACTCCTTTAAGTTAGTAAATACTTGTGATTTTTTTGCTCCCCTGGCAGGCGACCGAGAGGAACTGGTTTTATCAAGTTTAAAACAATAGATGCAGCTACTGCAGCAATTTCAGCAGCAAACACTGCATCTGGTTTGGGTATTTTTCTCAAAGGTAGACAACTCAAAGTGTTGAAGGCTTTGGATCGGAAATCAGCACATGATAAGGAATTGGAGAAAGCCAAAGTTGAAGAGCATGACCATCGTAACCTTTACTTGGCAAAGGTTGCTTTTCTTGACAAATAACTAAATTTCCATTGATTTAATGTGTTTGTAGTATAGCCTTGACATTCTTGTTTTTATGACTTAATAGGAAGGTCTCATAGTTGAGGGAACTCCTGCTGCTAAAGATGTTTCAGCTAGTGATATGGAAAGACGCAAAATGTAAGAATTTTTTATTGGTTTTATCTTAGTTGGATACTTGGCATCAATTGGTTCTGCCTATAGTGTTGCAATGCAAATGTGTGCTATTATTTTGACTGCATAGTAGTTAACGGGTCTCTGGTTTGGCCAGGAATGGTTTAAATGGCTACTCAAAACAGAACAAGTGTGCAAGGGATAAAGTCAGTTAGATGTTGTTTTCTGAATGTTTCTATTTTTGTTTTTAATATGGAAAAATGTTGTCACAGTTTTCTTCTCCCTTGTAGAGTCCTCTTTGTTTATGAAAGAATGCGCAAAGTTTGTTGCAAAATCCTTAATTTGACCTAGCTTTAACTCTTGAAATCAACTTAATAGTGGAAGGAATTTTTGATGGTCCTTTTGATTGTCTTTTGAAATTTGACTTTACTATTATTCTAATGCTTTTTGGAAGCCCTGCAGGTTGCATGAAAAAAAGATGACCAAGCTTCAATCTCCAAATTTCCATGTTTCAAAGACAAGACTTGTTATATATAATTTGCCAAAGTCTTTGACTGAAAAAGAATTGAAACAACTTTGTATTGATGCAGTTACCTCACGAGCTACAAAGCAAACACCTGTAATACGACAGGTTAGATAAAGTTGTTAATCCGTTATTATAAAAAGTTTTTTTCTTTTAATTCTTTCTATAATTTTCCACATATGTAGAGTACTCTCTTAACCCTGATATGACTTATGCAGATTAAGTTCTTGAAAACTGTGAAGAAGGGAAAGCTTGTTGTTAAGAATCAGTCACGTGGGGTTGCCTTTGTTGAGTTTACAGAACATCAGCATGCACTTGTGGCCCTGAGGGTTCTTAATAATAACCCTGGTAATGCGCTTCATTGGTATTTTTCATGTGCACGATTGGCTTTAATTTCAACACAAGATTTATCCTGTTTTTGCTTCTAGCTTGCATGCATTGAAGGGTGGTTTAACCATAACATATTGGGAAAAAAGTTACTTTGAAGTGCATTGTTTCTTTTCTATTCTAATCCAAAATTTTCATTGGTTATTTATAGAAACTTTTGGTCCCGAGCATCGTCCAATAGTGGAGTTTGCTGTTGATAATGTGCAGACATTGAAGCTGCGGAAAGCTAAGTTACAAGCCCAGAAGCAGAATGCTATTGATGATTTGAACAATGCACAGCAAAATGCTGAATCACAATCATTTGATGCTCACCCTATCAAATCCAGAAAACGGAAATCTAGAGATAAGAAAAGGGCAACGAAAAATTCAGAGTTGAAAAAGACTGAGATGGAAGACATTGTTGCCACTGGAGAAGGCCAAGCATATAAGAAGCCAAAGCACAATCCAGCGGGTGAAAAGACAAAACCCTCTTCTTCCAAAGAAATGTTGGAAGGCTCCAATCAGAAGTTGAAAGGATCAAATTGTAAAGCCAAAGATCGCAAAGGTGGCCTGAAGCCTTCTGTTGGAAGTTCAGATAAGGTTGAAACAAATGTTAATGATACCGGCAAATTAAAGTTGAAGGAGGTGGAAGCAGTTTTGCAGCAAAAAGAGAGGTCGCGACAAGAACAGGCAAAGCGGCAGGAGGGAGAGACAAATTCAAAAGAAAAAGGCCAAAAAGGAATAAAGATCCAGCAGGGCGAGATGTGGTAGACAAACTTGATATGCTAATCGAACAGTACAGATCTAAATTCTCACAGCCCAAATCTGAAACATCTGGTGCTGAAAAGCAAGGTTCTAAAAAGCTTAGAAGGTGGTTTCAAGCTTAATTTCCTGTTATCAGGTTTTAGCTAGTTTTGTAGCATATCTCGACAGATCCATCTTTAGAAGAATGAGAATTTCTTGAGGCGATTGATGTTAACGCAATTGCTATAAGTTTTGTACATTGTTAAAATTAACAATTCTGTGCACTTGTAACATATAGGTAACAATTTCATGCTATTCTGTTTGTTATTAGTTGTTACATACATACAATTGAGATGAATCCGGCATTTTATGACAACTTTAGTAAAAAAGGCGAGAGCATGTTATCGAGTTAGTGTTTGTCTAGGCGACTCGTTTTCTCTTAAATATTCTTCACAATTAGTTTGAACTTGGATGGCCAAAGGGCAATATGTTTTTTTTTTTTTTTTGAAATAATATTAGGCACTTTGTTAAATCAAAATGCAATTGGTATCGATCGCATTTTCACAAGTTTACTCACTTTTGGTTAATATCTACATTTGGCGCACACATTCCCTAACGATAAACAAAAGAATATCAAATCTAATCCACTATGAACCTGAACATTCTTTTAGGATAAACAAAAGAATATCAAATCTTATCCACTATAATTGTAGGAAGCTCTCCCTGCCACTTTATCTTGAAAGGGCAAGACATGCAGCCAGGAAGAAGATAATGAACAAAAATCAAAATCTTTTTCTTTTCTATTATCTGTATACACCCCACAGGCTGCAAATTATAGAGACAAAAAAAAGTGTATAAAAGGCAATAACACAACCATCATTTTTAGATGGGGTGGTTGAGATCATGAGATGCATGACTGATGGCTCCATTCACAATAAAGAATTAATTGAAAAGTGACCTTTATAAATTTATTCTTTTCTTTCTCCTTCCACTAGCTGAAAATTCTCTAGTTATCTTATAACTTACTCAACACATGAAATAAATTAGTTAATTATATACCCTCTTTTATTATCTAATTAAAAAATAATGCCTCCATTTATGAGCTCTCTATAATGGTGACTAATAAGGAAAGTTTTGAATGTGTGGAAGGTGAGAATTATATTCTCCTTAAGTCAATCATAACCATAAATTGAACTGAATATATATAAGCTCGTGTTAATAGAAAACATGAATGATTATTAGAAAAGATTAGTATATGTACGAGTAATTATAATTTTTTTTAAAGATGCTTCAAAAAATCAACACTTTACCATTAAAAAGGCCTAAAAAGGAAGGTACTGGATAAAATTTAAGAATCCCAAATCACTCAACAAAAAAAATATATACAAAAATTGATGTGATCATATATTTAATAGCAGGTGATCATATTAGTTTACTGAAACCTTTAGTTGAAAACTTGGAATGGTTTAGTTGATTTATTCCTTCATCATGACATTTAGTTAAGGATTGAATAAAATGTCCACTTGTCTTCCATATATATAACTCTGTTAAGGTGAAGAAGGATTGCAATATTGCCACTCACATGGGGCGAATTAAGGTGGGTCACCCATGACTCCATTGTTTCAAAAAAGCAGCAAAAATTTAGCTCTAAATGCCCATTTTCTGTCAGTTACTCTTTTTCTTTTAACGTTTTCATTTGACTTCATTGCTCTAATGAAATCAGAAGAGATAGATTGTCAAAAAAAGAGTTTGTCAAGGCACATGCTGTTGCTCTTGTTTTCACGTTTCTCCTGTCTGGTACATGCCATATTGTTTTATATGAACTTGATTTCAACGGAGAAACTGTAAAAACATGCAAAAGAATTTGACAACTGCACTACCAAAATGTTAAAAGAAACATTTTCTGTGGACAAAAGTTTTGTGTAGAAGTTAGAACATTGCCTCCTCATGAATGCTTTTTTCTTCTATTTTGTCAATGTTGCCGCGCGCCACCCCCCCGAGCCAGCTGTATGGTATTCGTTTTCAACATATACATTATTGGCAGTGAAAGAAACTATAATGTGGAGAAACTAAAAAAGATGATAAATGGGACAGAACAAAACAATTCTGAACTCAAAATCTTTTGATTCCCTTGTATATGATAGTTTTCACTTAGTTTCCCTTCCTGTAAAATGATTCAAGACAAAAATGGATTCTGTTGTCTAGTGAAACAGTAATCATTACTATATAAAAAACTGTTCCTCCTTGTCAAATTCTTTGTTTCCTCACACTTCACACATTGTTTGCTTACCTTTCAAACCTCTCTTTCTTGCTTTCTCTTTTGGAAAAAATGGAAACTAACCCGGCTTCCCACTGGTTTTTTCTATGCATCGCAATGTTGTTTCTAAGTGTTCAGGTGACCTATTGCAGTGTTACCTATGACAGAAAGGCTCTTATCATTGATGGGCAGAGGAGAATTCTCTTTTCTGGCTCTATACATTATCCTAGAAGCACCCCTCAGGTACATTATTTTCTCAGAATTTCATCTTGTCCCACAATTTTCTTGGGAAAATATTGATCTTGTAGAACAACTTTGAGGCAACTTCAGATAATGAAACGATGTGAATGTAATGCAGATGTGGGAAGGTCTGATACAGAAAGCTAAAGATGGTGGTTTGGATGCTATTGACACCTATGTCTTTTGGAACCTCCATGAACCTTCTCCTGGCAATGTAGCTTGTTTCTCTCAAAGTTCCCTCTTGTAAAACTTTCTTGCTTTTTCCTTATGAATTTCCATTTTTCTTTTTTGGGTGTTAGTATAATTTTGAAGGGAGAAATGATTTGGTTCAGTTCATCAAATTGGTCAAAAAAGCTGGACTGTACGTTCATCTTCGCATTGGGCCTTATATTTGTGGAGAATGGAATTTTGGGTAATGAAAATTTTTCCATGGTGAAGGCAACCTTATAAGAGATGTTCATTTTCTATATTTCATTGATGTTGTTCTTTTGTCCTTTCCCCAGAGGTTTTCCTGTTTGGTTGAAGTATGTTGCTGGAATTAGCTTCAGAACAGATAATGAGCCTTTCAAGGTAAAGAAGTGTCTTAAGTAGAGTAAAATGACAAAAAAAAAAACAAAAAAAAAAGATAAGAAATGCAAACTTTCATGTGATCCATTTCAGAATTGATCTTTATTGGCTTTGGAATTTTTGGTGTTTCAGCAAGCAATGCAAAAATTTACCCAAAAAATCGTCCAAATGATGAAGGATGAAAAGTTGTTTGGGTCTCAAGGTGGCCCCATCATCCTCTCTCAGGTATGGCTTAGGTTATGTTCCCTTTGATTTTTAATATAATGCTGAAGTTTTGCAAACCATAAAATGAGACATCCATTTTGCATCAAAACTTGTTTCTGTAAACGTTCTGTTTGTTCGCAGATCGAAAATGAATATGAACCTGAAAGCAAGTCATTTGGACCTGCTGGTCAAGCTTACGTTAAATGGGCTGCAAAGATGGCTGTTGGGCTGGAAACTGGTGTCCCATGGGTTATGTGCAAGGAATATGATGCCCCTGATCCTGTGGTAAGCAAAATAGACAGCCATCGACATTGTACTTGAAAGCTTCATTCATCTTAAGCCTCGCAGTACGAGAAAAAGTTTTCAAGTTTCTTTTGAAATCCTGGTGACAGATAAACACATGCAACGGTTTTTATTGTGACTATTTCTCTCCAAACAAGCCTTACAAACCCACATTATGGACTGAGGCATGGACTGGCTGGTAAATTTCGCAACCATCAGTCATCAATCAAAATGGGGTTCTTTTCTTCTGTATTTTTCTACTACAAGCTTACTAGGTGGTCCCCCTGTTTAAGTAGGTTTTCAGACTTTGGTGGCCCAAATTACCGCAGGCCAGTTGAGGATATAGCATTTGCGGTTGCCAGATTCATTCAAACGGGTGGCTCCTTTGTCAATTACTACATGGTCTGTTTGCAACTTTGATTTCCCCACATAGTTGATACTGTTGGAAAGTTGCAGCACATTATTGGATAACCTTCATGATACATTTTAGTTAAAATGTAGTTTGAAACTGACTCGCATGTGCTATTTTCCAAACAAAGGAGAAGAGAAAATGAAATTCCCTTTATTCCGTTTTCAATTCCCTGAAAATCATGAGGAACATAGTGAAGTTTGCATCTGGCAAAGTTTAATTAAAATTGCACCAAGCATTTAAAGCTCTAATTTTCTTTACTATTAAAAGGAATATTCCTGCGGTATAACTAAAGTGTATACTTTTCTCCAGTACCATGGTGGTACCAACTTCGGAAGAACTGCCGGAGGCCCTTTCATTACTACCAGTTATGACTATGATGCTCCGATTGATGAATATGGTAAGAGTTCTAATAAAAAATTTTGCACCCCAAATGATCTCTGAACCCGAATCATCCTGTTCGCCATCTCTATTTCAAACCAAGCATTTTGACATGTAACTACTGGTATATTGTAATTTGACAGGCTTGATCAGGCAACCTAAGCATGATCATTTGAAGGAACTCCACAAGGCTATTCGGTTGTGTGAAAAAGCTTTGCTGACTGCTGATCCTAACGTCGTAGCTTTAGGAAGCTATGAGCAGGTGCCTGGACATTCAGTCTAGAATCTTTTTCTGCTTCTTGAACAAGTATACTTGTTAAAGTCTTGCTAGAAAATCAAACTCAATGGTAACTATTCTCAGGCACATGTTTTCTCTTCCAAGTCAGGCGGCTGTGCTGCATTTCTTTCGAACTATAATACACAGTCAGATGCAAGGGTGACTTTTAATAATATGCACTATGATCTTCCCCGTTGGTCCATCAGCATCCTTCCAGATTGCCAAAATGTTGTTTTCAACACTGCCAAAGTAAGTGATCGGACAAAAGTCTTATATTCTATTTTGATTGGTCTACTATCTTAGTTTCTTTTCGGTTTCATTTAATGTGATGAGATGATAAACCAGATACCATCTGTCTTTCCAGGTTGGAATTAGAACATCTCAAGTGCAAATGCTGCCGACAAATGTGAAGTTGCAATCATGGGAGACAATCAATGAAGATGTATATTCAATGGAGGGTGAGTCACCAATGACAGTCAAGGGTCTCCTGGAGCAATTAAACATCACGAGAGACACCAGTGATTATCTCTGGTACACAACCAGGTAAGATTTGAATGAATGTTTGATATCTCAAATAAAGTCAAATATTTCCAATTATTGATTAGGTGATTTTTCCAGTGTCCAAATAAATTCAGCCGAATCATTTCTTCATAGAGGTAAACTCCCCACCCTCAGTGTGCAATCAGCAGGGCATGGCATGCATGTTTTTATCAATGGACAACTTTCAGGTACATTATCAAGTTTATCATTCCTGAACTAATGCTCTTGGGTTGAGTTACTGAAAAGCTTTCCTGCTGTTTAAAACTTACAGGATCAGCCTTTGGGACTCGGCAAAACAGGAGGTTTACTTTTACAGAAGATATAAACCTGCGCCCTGGAATGAA